GAAAGTAAGCTCTGTTAAAATAAAAATAGACAACTATGTATGCATGTTCAAGTCAGTTTAACTTTTATAGAATGATGACTAAGTATATTTTTTGTAATAATGTATGTGAAAAGATCCTTGACAGGTGGGTTATTACCTCCAAATCCCTATTACACATGGGCTTATTCATTTTTATTATATTTTATCCATATCTAGATACATTTTAAGTTATCTGTAACCAACAAAGGTCGTGCATTACAGTACATTCACTAGGGTTTGTAATCGATTTCAATATCGATTTTAAACATCGATAAAAATCTTTTGAAACATTAAAAACAATATCGAAATTGTAAAGGTTTGTTCTCGACATTTAAAACTGAAATTGAAATCAATGAAAATCAATATTGTACATTAAAATTGTAATCGGTTTTAAAGAAAATACATTTTAAATTTGAAAAAAAAATATATTAATACCGGGCTAACTATAATTTGTATTTATTATTTAGCATTTTATTATACGCATCTAGTAATACTGATTCAGGGGGGAGGAGGCACTGGGGGAAAATCCCAACCTTTTCATAAAAAAAAGTACCTTATGGTTGTAAATTTTTTATATACAATATTATACATGTTTGATGCGATAACAAAATTGATTTAACTAATTGCATGCAAATTAATTTAGTATGATAGAAATCAAATTACATTGGGTATATGTATACCAATAAAAGTAAACCAATAATTATTAAGGGCGAGGGCAATATCTAATCTACAAGTAGTTTCAATAACTGCGCAAAACATAATTCTCATTGGCTGCTTTTCTTTACACCTATTTCGTTTTCTTAGAATATCTAAGAATAACTAATATAATTGAGTGTCTGCACGTGGTGAATTTAATGGACAAGCGTTATTTTCCTGTGATAACTTTTATTTTTACACACGTTATTGGATTTTTGATACTAACACATTTTTATGAAATCGAACAAAACAACTCAAGAAACAGAAAAATGTAAACACTATCTTTATTGACAATTGGACACAAGCAAGGCGTTATATATGCAACTAAATTTACTCAAACCATCTACCAATATTATGTTTGCAACGTTCTAGTAGTTCGAAGCATATATATCTTTCATACCTTTTAGACCAACAAGCAATTTTATATTACACATACTTCTGATTGTCTGATTTAAATTTTTAATACATGTACGAACTCTTTGATAAAATGTCTAAGGTATTAAAGAAGTCGATTTTTAATTTTAAAAGACCATACAATTAAGATTTTTTTTTTTAAATCCCAAGAAATAATTGCATTAAATTAGTATTTATTTTAAATCCAAAAATTGACTCTTAAAGTGCATAGTCTAGAAGCCTATAAATTGAACCAATTCTTTTTAAAAATTTCAATCGAACTTCCGAAAGTATGCTCAATTTATTACAGCTTATAGTAATTTTTATAGTTATAAAAACAAGAAAATATTTCAACTTTCGCAATTTATTGACATATGTGTGTGCGTGTGAGAGTTGTTTTCGGGGGCATGGTGCACAGTAGTCTGAAACAAATATTTAGCTGGCCAAAAGTGCCATTCCAAAAAAATTAAAAATTACTAAATTTTATAATGAATTAATTTTTATTTTAATATTTTGTGAGTAAATTAAAAATATGAGATCATGAGGTTGATTATCAAATCTTACATAGCAATTTGATTAAAAACATTAAAATTTTTATCGAATATTTCCAATTTTTTGCACAAAAAATCTATATCATATTTTCATACTTAATAAAAAATTTTAAAACTTTAACTTTCTCAATTCACAATTATTACATTGTTTTTAATTTAATTACGGCATTTTATTTAATTTTAATTTTTTTTTTTTTATATATAACAATACCAAATTTAACACAATAACACAATTTTTCCATTATACTTCGCTTTTAAGGAGTAGTACTAAAATTCACGCATTTTTATGCAATATTCAATAGTTACGTGTTATAGTACAAGTTGTGAAGAACAAATTAAAAAAAAAAAAATTTTCCCCGAATTGATCAGATAATTTAGATGTATCATTTTCCCCAAATAAGTACTTACTTTCATGCAAATGTGCTTAGCATGAGTGAAATGTTTGGTTATTAAAGTTCCCCATTATACATTTGAAACACTAGAATTCGGAAGATGATGACCTTAAAAACATTAAAAAATAACCTAAAAATAGATGCAAATATGACATAAAAATGACAAAAAATATCCAAAATATCCAAAAAATGACCAAAATTGTTTTCAAATATTTGTTTTAAATTAATAAAAATACATTTTATACCATAACATTCTATATAAATTTATCAAAACTTACAAATAACTTAAAATATGATATTAAAATGACAACAAATGTCCTTAAAATATGAAACAAAAATATGACAAACATTTGTTTTATAAATTTATCAAAGTTTACAAATAAATCAAAAATTAAAATCATTGCATTGTACAATTAGAGCGTATTTGATGTTATTAAAAGTAAATTAACGACGATTATCTATTTATAATAGTGATCGAACTTGAAAATATTTTTCGAACCAGGCATACTGGTCACGATAGTTCAAAAACCAAATATTAGTACAATTCTTCAAATGTTATTTTTGAAGAATAAAAATTGATATTGATTATTTAGAAATAATTAGACTATTGGCGATGGAAAGTGATAATTTGTAAAGGGCACGTTATGCATATTTATAATCATGTTATTTTTCCAGTCACATGTTACACATCCACCCTCCACCGACCAAAACATTAATAAGTTGTTTATCGCCAATGGAGGCAGTGTATCTACATCCATAAATTAGCTATTTTGTTTTTATCATATTTATTGTAGAGGTTAAATTCTATTTTGGATAAATTCATGGTAATATTCCGATACCGCGACGGTGCTGTTAATAAAAACATGTTTATGACTTACGTCTTACATTATAAATTCTACTAATCATTCTATATTTGTGAATTATAGTTATTATTACTATTTTTTTTTTATATATATATTTTTAAAATATGATGATTGTATTGTCATATTACACTCAATAATCAATACTCAATGAATAGTTTATAAGTTACAAGACAACACGAGAGAGCACAATACTGGTTTTGAAAAATAATAATAATAATAAAAAATTATCTAAAATTTAAATGTATTGTAAAAAATAATACAATTACTAAGACTTAATAGTTAAAATGTAGAATAGGTAATACGAAAACTTAAAATACAATAGTAATTAATAATTATGGTTGATTTAATTTGTAGATAGGTACAATGTGCATGATAAAAAATATTGAGTTCGAGTTGAAGTTTGACTTAAAATTATAATAGGTTCGGTTCGATTCAGTTCGAGTTTGAAAAAATTATTTAAAGTTCGGTTCAAGTTCGGTTCGATTTAAAAAATAAGGGTTCGACCCATCACTAGTTTATAAATATTTTTATTGGGAGAAACTTCTCTCCGCGACCACTGAAGTAATTGGGAACGCAGACGAGCACTAACCGACGTTTTAATTTTCGATATTTTGAAAATATTACGAAAAAATAATAAAATTTAGATATAATAGGTATTATTCACTGATTCGGGTGTTCAAACACCGCAATACAACATTTAAACAAACGTTTGGGTGTTAATAACCGTTATTATTCGAGTTAATATTGGTTAATACGGGTGTTAAGTAGTGAAGGAAAAATATTATTTCTTATTGGTGGAGTGTGGTGTGGAGGCTCAGCCCTCCCTCCACTAATGAAATATTTATACTTTTTGTTACCTGCCTATGTAATAAAATATCAATTTCTTATACAACTGTGCAATAGTTTTTTATACCAAAATATCATTATGTTAATTTCAAGCAATAGTGTAACTATGATTTATTTTCGGGAAGAGGGTAATATTTTATATGTGTATGAAGCTTATAAATTATAATATATATTAAAATTAAAAATACTAACACTATGTCCTACTCTTAGTTAGGGCGGGCATATCGCATGCGACAAAAAACAAACTATTTTGTATTCTGCGTTTGTGTTTGCAGCATAGGCGGAAATCGGGAGGGACTTGAGGGGATTAAGCCCCCCCCAGATATATCAAGTACAGGTCTTAGCCCCCTAGTCCTAAAAATTGTTAAGTGACTAAAAATACAATAATTATTATAATTGTAAAATGCATTTTTAATAGCTGAATTAAAAAAAAATATTCTGTGATAAAAATTAAATCAAATTCGTAAAATTTTACACACTTCTTGTCATGACTCGGAATTAATGTAATATTAATAGTATGTAATATTACCCGTATAAGTTGTTTAATTTAATTAATTAATAATTTTTGTTTAGAATACCTACTCCAAAAATGTTTAAAATAAGGCACCTAATAGTTTTTTTGTTTAAATTGTTGATTAAAAATGTCAAACTGTCAAACTTCGTAAATTGTCTTCTTGAAATAAATAATTGCACACAGTGGTATCTATAGGTATAATAAGCAAATAATCCTCAGCCCCCCCCCCACAAATTTTACCAAATTTCCCCTTATGGTTTATGGTGCGTGCACACACTAAAAACGTAATACAAAAATAATAATTTATACTTATGAATGTTTCAATGAAATTATTACACAAACTAAAATTGACAATTCACGCCATAGACAAGTGTACTACACGCCATACATTGAACAAATACAAATAACGCGAACAGTTATTTAGGTATTTCACTATTAAAATAAATATATACGAATAAGATTGTATGCCATAAATTAATGGATAAGAAAAATCATTACAATGTTCATAAATATTTTTATTATTATTGCTTTCGATTGAAATTACAATACACTTTTTTATTAATGTACGAAAACAGCGTAAATTTTTTCAATATCATAGTTCAACTATTTTCTAGTGCCGTACTACTGCTGATTATTATTTATTTTAATTTATTCTATTAATTAAATACATTTATGATTGATCTGAAACTTACAGATTATGGACGAAATTAAACTTCAGAAAATAAATCCCTTCAAGATTAAGGTAATCATTTTTTTAATCAACTAAGTCATAGTTTTAAATTGGTTTAATTTTAGTTTCAATTATTCAAAATATATTTTATTTATAATAATGCAGTTTTAATTTTCAATCATTCCTTCGTAAATCACCATAAGGAAATCAAGAGCATAATATCTAGACTCTATGTTTATTACAGACTACGACTTTTACACCATCAGAATAATAAATTAGAGTGTAAAACATCACTTGAATACAGGCATGAAGTTATTATATATTTATATATATATATATAAAATATATTGAATGACTCGTACAAAACTAGCGGTCACCTAACTTAATAATGGTCATATCATTACGTCGTCGTTGAATTATTCCACAGAATGTTTTCAAAAATAAAAAATAGAATACGTTAAAAATAGTTTTCTGAAGTACGTTTTATATAGACGTGTAAAAGTAATAAATGAAACATTTTTTTTTCATCACCAGTAACTACAAATAAAAAAAAACATGTGATATAAAAAATCTATTTCATACTAAGGAATGATGTTAATTAAAATACAATGTCGAGGCGGCTTCTATTTAATTTTATAATGTTTTTATGAAGCAAAATTAAAAAAAAAAATGTTATCTATATCTATATATATATATTTATATCCATTGATCAATTATTGCTTAAATGAAATATTATTTAGTCCAATTATTATACATCGTTTAACTAAATAAAGTTGAAAGAGCAGAATTTTGAATTATAATATGATAAGGACATTAAGAGAGTATGTATACAACGAGAATAATAAATTACAGAATACGAGACGAGTATATAATATATTGAAATTTACATTTAAGTGTTATTTAGTAAAAAATAAACGGTGTTAGTATTGTAATTAGAATAGTGTTGTCCAAATATTATTAATTATTGATTATTAATTAATTATAATTTATATTATAATTATTAATTATTATTATTAATTATGACATATAATAAATTATTGTGTTGCTCTCGAGTTGTTAGGATATGGTGGGAATTCTAAATTATCAGATTTATCTGATGAAAAAAACAATAACAATCAATCCCTAGAGAATTTTTTTTTAAATAATTATGTTTAATACATATGTTTTGTAATATACGTCAATAAAAAATAAATATTTATGAATGTTACTTGAAACAAATGAATAATAATATTTATTTATATTACAATATATTTCATAGTAAGAACTTTCATGAATCAAACTATCTGACTCGCTTGACGCGCAGTAGCTTTGTATTAAACCAATACTTCGTTTGACACATGGTGAGTCCGAAGTTTACCGAATTGCCGTTGCACAATATTTATTCCATAATAAATATAAGAAGGTAATGAAAAAAAAAAAAAATAAAAAAAAAATAAAGAGCCAAAAGCTTTAATGGTTGAAAAATAACGACGCTGTTATTGCTGTGAGTTCTAACTACGTTGTGACCGAAGACAAAATTAATTCCGTTTCCATGTGTTTCGCATAATTTGCAAATATGGGCGCATATTTTCTAAATATTACTCAGTTTATTATTATCACAGGGTAGCGTATTAAAATGAATTGGTCATTATATTTTTAAAATCAAACTTTGTCCGGGTCAAAAGTAACACAACATAACTCGTCAACGCCCAACCTCGAGTAATGTTACCCACACGTTGAGAACGGCTGCAGCTGATTGACTGTGTTTCAAAACAGCTGTATATTAAACCGCGTACGACAACGGTGTATTACTGCGACGAGCAGCAGCGATCGCGTTCCAACCGACTCTGAACGGCGTATCACAATAGTAGGACGACCATGATGGCTAATAATCATGTTGGACACCGGTAATCGCATGCACAACAGTTTGATCAGGGGTCTCCAACCAGTCGATTCTCTTTCTAGGAATATAGATCGATCGTTATAAAAATTAATTTTACCACTATCTCGGTCGATGGCGTGTTAAACAATCGGACAATGGGAATATTAGATTATTTCGAAAGGACAATAATAATTTTAATTATTCTCTGGAGCTTAGACTTTTTTTTTGTTTTTTTGCTCATCAAACAAATCTCTTCTTAAACACCTAAAATCCTCCTGGATGTCGATCACCGGAGACTTAAAATGTCAAACGTAGCTCGCTTGTTCGAAGAGAAGGTTGGCGACCACTGACTATGATATAATAGGTACTGTTGTGATATTCAATGCGAAGGTCACGTTGCGCAACTTTTTCGTCCGCTTCGCGCCGAAAACGATAGCCGTGCAATTTTAAAATAAAATCGCACACACGTCGTGTTGGATTTTTATTAATATTTTTCTTACAGTTGAAATGAAACCCGAACAAATGCGTGTGAACGCACCGTCGCCTTGAGAAGGGGAAACGGTGCGCGTGTTCAACGTGTCCTGCTGCGCAGGCGGTCGACGCGAACAGACGCGGCACATCGTCAGTCAGCGGCGGTCGTCTTTGCGTCGCCATCGGTCCGTTGTACGTTCACGTAACCTTTCTATTTTTTTTTTATCGCATTTTTTTACATTTAATTTTTTCCTCGATCGATTAACACCTCCGTTCCCGTGTCCCGTGTCCATCACTTCATCACCGTTAGCTCTTAGCAATGGATCATCATCATCATCATCACCACGTGACTGTATATTTTTTTTAAAAATAAATCTTCCGATATTTGTACGCAGGAACGCCGCAATCCATAACTATTGCACCACCGCGTCGACGAACGAATGTCAGCGAATCTCTCGCTCCGACGACTTGCACTGTTCACCTCATCGGAAAGCTGTCCTTCCGAAAACCGCCGTAAGTATACGTTCTTAACAGGGTTCAACAGATACACCAATCGTAAAAACGATACGGGATACAGATAAAGATAACCATGTTACATAATAAATTTAATAAATTTTATTAATACAAGCATATCGGCCCATGTACATATTTTATCATAAATAGAACAAAATTAAAACAGTCGAAATAAATTTTTTCTATTTTCAAGAGTTCAACGACGATCAAATTTAAATAAAGTTAAATAATATACAAATATTAAACAAATAGGTACCTACCTATTTTATTATTATTATGTTAAATAAATATAACTAAATATGTTCGCTAACATGATTTTTATAATATTGTCTTTAAACTATAATAAATAATTTTTTAACGCATTTTTATAGTGCCTTTTTTTATAATTTCAAAGCATTTTCGCCTTTTTTTTTAGAGCGTTTTGTAATTTTTTAGAGTATTAAAATCTCAGTTATATGTTATACGAGCCATATATTACTAAGTATAATACTAAAAAGAACGCTTAACGTATCTCATATAATCTAATTCATATCCATTCATTTCAACAAACCATAAATACTAGTGATATTTAATATGTATATACAAATTTTTTCTCGTAATGATTTGGTACTACATAAATAAATAAACAAATAGTTCAGAATTTAAAAAAATTATATTATAATATTTAAAAAAAATTCTTCGTATACAAAGTTGATAAGATCGCGAATGAATATGAAGAAATAAAATTTTTTTATTTTTATTTTTTCATCCTATCTAATTCTTAAAAAATAAAATATTCTTATATAAACAATATTTTTTTTGTATACATATATCTTGATTGATAAAAAAAATCATTTAAATAACTGGTCTTTTTTAATCATAATTTATTATCAATAAATTTGTTTTTTTCTTTACTGAAATAAAATTATAACTAGGAAAAAAAAGCATTACTCTTCTTTAAAACATTATAGTAAAAATAATGCATTATTAGTACTAATACCTCACTATTATATTTAAAATCAAGTTAATTTATTGGTTATTCAAAACGAAATAATATTTTCCGCACACATATACCTGAAAGCAGGGTTTCCGAACGGAACGTAAAAAAAACGGTTAAAGAACATTATTGTTGTTCATAAACCAAAATAAAATGGAACAAAACCAATTATTTAATTTAGTTTATTATTGATCCTTCATATGAAATAACAATATAAACTATATAGTTATATAAGTTATACTAATGGTTATACTAGTTATACTAAGTTTTAAGTTACACTATATGAGTTCACTGACATTTTTCATGAAAAACGTTATAATCTTAAAATTGCTCTAAAAAGATGCCAAAATTGCAATGAAATACATTAAAATTACATAGTAAAATTATATCAAATATATAATCATTAATTACTTACTTAGATAATATTATGGACATTTATATAATATTTACAAAATATATCATTTTTCTGAATTAAAACTTATAATTATATACATCTCTAAATTGTATTCTTGAAAATAGTATCATCTGTTACTTCAATTATGTTTAGGTATATAGTGAAAAAGTATGTTCAACGTCGACATTTCGCTTCTCCGGTGGAACAACGACATAAGTGCAAATTTTTGACTTTTAGACATAAGTACGACAACAGTACAATAACATTTCATTTTATCGAATGGAACAATGACATAAGTTTAATACCTATTATTGACCGCTAGAGAGCAGTTTCGTCATTGTTGAAAAAACCGGTTTTTAATCACATGTCCAATGGAAAAATTACGTTTTCTGAAGAACAATTACATTTTCACTTACGCCGTTGTTCCACCGGAGAAGCGATTTGTTAACGATGCATATTTAAAATTGTTTAAAAATTAGGTGTTATATCTAAATAAACATTTTGATTTCCTGTTATAATCTCAGAGTAAGTTTTAATACTTGTATATCCTTCATTATTTTTAAGACATATTTTAATTTATCTTTAACTATTTTTCCATTAGGACCGGGAATATTTATAGAAATATTTATAATAAATATTTTTATTTAGTTATTATTTGTTTAGTATTTATTTATTTATTTATTTAGTATTTATACTAAATATATTTGAACTATTAAGTAATTGATTATTTAATTCTTCTAGACTTTTGAGTTTTGTGGATAATCCAGATAAATATAATTTAAAAATGCTAAACTACATTTAAGTACACGTAAAAATTTACGTCGTAGTTATATTTTTTTTTATAAAATCACTTTAGAAATAATAATTTGTATATTTTATCACGAGAAGTATACAAAAATTGTAATAATTGCAAAAAATTACAAAATCGTTGAAAATTGCAAAAATTGCATTATTAAATTAAATAGGAAAATTGTAATTATTCTGATTCGTATACATATTTGATCAGATTTGATTTAGTGGGTATCAATAAAAAGTTGCAGTATCAACTAAATCCGCTCTTTAGTCATAACCTATTAAGTTCTTTGAAAAATTACTCAAAGAACGTAATAAGCTAACACATTCTTCAAACTTTTAACACATAGAACAACACAAATTAAATCGTTTATTGAACTATTAAAATAACGTTATGAATCAAAATTATTTTTTGACTATTTTAAATTTCAAATTCTTTAAGAATAATTAGTACTTTAAT